ACACAAAAAAATCAGGAACTGTTGACAGGCAACAAAACTATGCTTTAGAGAAGGGAAGTGGCCAGGCATGGTGGCACATCCGTAATCCCAGCACTCCAGAGGTTAAGGCAGGAGGATCACCACAAGTTCCAGGCCAGTTTGGTCTATATGTGAGATCCAAGCCAGCCTGGCTACCACGTGAAACTGTCTTAATAACAACAGCCTGGCATGGTGGTGCATACCTTTAATCCCAGAACTCAGGAAGCAGAGGCAGAGGGAACTCTGTGAAATGGAGGCCAACTTGATCTACACAGAGAGTTCCAGAGCCAGTTGTGGAGGGAGACCCTGTTTAAAAAAAAAAAAAAAAAAAACCAACAAAAACCAACCAACAAACAAAGGGTCTGGAGAGATGGCTCAGCAATTAAGAGCACTAGCTGCTCTTACAGACCACCCATGTTTGGTTCCCAACACCTACATGGATGGTGGCTAACAACCATCTGTAACTCCAGTTCCAGGGGATCTGATGGGCTCTTCTGGCCTCCACAGGCACTGCATGACACAGTGTACCTACATATATGCAGGCAAAACACTCATACACATAATAAATTTAAATGAGAGATGGCTCAGCGGTTAAGAGCACCAACTGCTCTTACAGAAGACCCAGGTTCGAGTCCCAGCACCCACATGGCGGCTACAAACTGTCCTTAACTCTAGTTCCAGGGGAATCCGAAGCCCTCTTCTGACCTCCATGACATTGCAAGACACGGGTGCACTCACTTACATGCAGACAATACACTCACACACATAAAATAAAAATAATAAATAGCTGATGACCTGAGTTCAATCCTCTGGACCCACATGGTGGAAGGAGACAACCTACTCCCAGGAAGTAAGCACACATACACATAATAAATAAATATATATACTCCCAAATTAAAAAATAAAAATAATAATAAATACAATTTTTTTTAAAAAAAGGGGGCTGGAGAGATGGCTCAGCAATTAAGAACACTGGTTTTTCTTGCAGAAGACCCAGGTTCAAATCCCAGCACCCACATGGCAGCTAACAACTGTCTTTAACTCCAGTCCCAGAGGATCTGACAGCCTTTTCTGACCTCCACAGACATTGCACAACATGACACGGGTGCACTTACCTACATGCAAGTAATATATAGATACACATGAAATAAAAATAATAGGGGGCTGGAGAGATGGCTCAGCGGTTAAGAGCACGGACTGCTTTTGCACAGGACCTGGGTTCGATTCCCAGCACCCACATGGCAGCTACTAACCACCCTTAACTCCAGTTCCAGGGGAATCCCAACATCTTCTTCTGACCTCTGAGGCATTGCACCGCACGGGTGCACTCACATACATGCAGGCAATACACTCATAGACATAAAATAAAAATAAATAATAATGGTGGCACACGTCTTTAATCCCAGCACTCGGAAGGCAGAGGCAGGCGGATCTCTGTGAGTTCAAGGCCAGCCTGGTCTACATAGTGAGTTCCAGGACAGCTGGGGCTAGAGGGAGACCCTGTCTCAAAAAGACCAAAAATAAATTAATTAATTTAATTTAATTTTTAAAAAAATAAATAAATACAATAAGAAAAAAAAGAAAGGAAAGCAATCACCCAAGATCACACAGCCAGGAAGTAACAGAGGGACTTGGAATCCAGATGGCTCAGGTCGAACTCCAGAGCCTAACCTTCAGCCCCACACTTGTCTATGTCAATGACACAGGCCCCACCTGCTTCCCCTGACACCCCACTCACCTCCTGCTCTGCTCCTTCATCCCAAACAAGCCCAGCCCGATACAAAGAAAGGTAATGCAAGCAATACACACATACACATTCCAAGGTATGGAAGCGGCTTGCTTCGCAATAGAGCTTAAACCCGCTGGTAAAAGAAAACAATAGTTTCTCCTCTTACATTTTCAACTGAAAAATAGCTAACAGCCTCTTTAATCACTCAGTGCTTTGGATGAGAAAACTGAGCCTCCCTCTCCCCTCAGGCTGAGGCATTCAACAACCAGAGAACACATTTTGGAAGCTGCCAGGCTGCAGGGACTCCAGGGGGTTAGTGAGTGACAGCTGGAGGGACCCTCTTTGCAATCAGCTCAGAGCAATAGAGCCAAGAGACCGATCTTCAAGTCCCTCCATGGAGGGCTTCCTAAATGGTCTTATGTAAACCTCAGGAGCTGCTGAAGCCTCCCAGGTAGGGTGTGGGAGAAGTGGAATCCCACCCAGGCCTAAGCGGGCTTCCTGCTGGTGAAAGAGTGGCTGGAACTCTGCAGTAAGAACTTGGGAGGCTGGGAGACCCCTGAACCACTTTTGCTCCTCCCTACCCCACCCCACCCCCAGCAGCTTCTTATGCTATAAATAAGGCAACAGAGGAGTCTGGCCTCCTGCCTGGATCCCAGCTCCTATAGCACTTTTTGAGTAAGTTACATCACAGGGTCACAAAGAAGGTTAAATGAGTTAACTCATGGAAAAGTGCTCGTAAGGAAGCTGGTACCAAGTACATGCTCCCCAAAGCTAGCTATTATCAGCAGCTGAGAATGGGCACAAGATAAACTGCTAACAGATCCACCTTTGGGGAGAGCACCACGCATAGGAAGAAGAAGACTTGCTTCCATAGTCTGCTCTAGGAGTATTTATTCATTTCTTAATATAGGCACATCACTTGTTAAGCTTAAAATAATATAGTTTAGCCAGGAGTAGTAAGTAGCACATACCTTTAATCCCAGCACTCCAAAAGGAGGCAGAGATGGGTGGATCTCTGAGTTCCAGGCCAGCCTGGTCTACATAGCAAGTTCTACACCATCTAGGGCTACAGGGAGACCCTGTTCAAAAAAATGTAGTCTTTACGTGGGGGTGACGGGTCTGCTCTACCGATCCCCGACTCTCTAAGGGCTTGTTACTTGAATGAAACAATGCAACTTAGGAAACTAGTTCATGGCCTTAGAGAAACAGGTGTATATGCATTCTTGCAGTTTCTTTTATTTTCTTGAATAAAAAGAATTATTTAGAAAAGATATGCCATAAAAAAAAACACAAAAAAATGTAGTCTAAAGTTTGAAAATTAATCTGGGTATGATGGCTCATGCCTGTAATGCCTGCACTCAGGAGGCTGAAGCAGGAAGAACTGCAGAGAGTTTAAGCCCAGCCTGAACTACAGAGAGCCACATTTAAAACAAACAAAAGCAGGAAACGAATCCTTGGAGCTGGAGAGATGGCTGGGTGTGTGGGGGGGGTGTTGGTTAAGAGTACCCACTCCACGGCCAGGGGATCTGAGTTTGGTCCAGCACACGTATCAGGTGACTCGAAACTGCAGGTAACTCCAGCTCCAGGGGCTCTGACACACTTTTCTGAACTTCAAAGGCACCTGCCTGCACTCAGACACACACACATAATTAAAAAATAAAAATCTTTTAAAAACAAAGAAAAGGAATGCTCTGAAAAGTTTGAAGATTTCTTAGCATTTTATGTTCTTCAAAGTAGATAAAGGAGAATATTTCTACTACCAGCCCAGAATTGCCAAATAACCGATTCCTTCATTTAGTTTACAAATATTAATGAAGTGCAGGCCGCTGTTCCAGCTGCTGGGGATTTAGCAGGGAACCAAACAGGCCATTTCTGCGCTTCTGGAGTTTCTAAACTACCTGGTGGTGACTAATCCCCTCCACCACCCTTGGGGATGGACACTTGGCAGACAGGAGGCCCAAGTGTCCCTGTGAGGGGACATCACTAGGGTTCCAAACCTGGGGAAGAAGAGGTCCTACAATGGCCCAAAAGGAAAATGCTACGGATGGCAGGTTTGGGGATTGGTGTCCCCAAAAAGGAAACGAGATGACAGAACACTTGCACATCCTGCTCAAAGCCTCAGTCTCCATTATCCTCTGCACCTGCTGGGAGGAGGACAAGAGCGGCATGCAGACCAAAGACCCTAATGATGTGGCCCACAGGAGTGAGGCCTGAGGCACCCCCAATTCACTGGCAGACCTGAGTCCTGCCTGGAGTTTCTACCCACCACTGCCTCAAAGACAGCCCAGAGCCCCTAGATATTGGATCTCAGCTCCAAGGGAAGCCGGGGACTCCAGTCTCTCCTTGATCATCCTCCCAATTCACAGTTCAGTGGTAAAACTGGTTCCCCTTAGCCTTCAAATTCACTCTGCTGGCCCTTCTGAGTCAAAGACCTCATTTCCCAAGCTGGGTCAGGCATAGCGTCCGTCCCCTAGACGTTGTGATTCTTCTCAGAACCCTAAGTGTCCCCATCGACTTGTACCAGAGAGCTCTGTGCCTGACCCCACCCCTCTACGGAAGGAACAGAGGGTTCCTGGGACGTAGGGGGACACCATGAACAGCCCAAAGCCCCAGGGTAGGTCCGGTGCCGGCTAGGTCAGGCAGGCCGTAGATGCAGCAGTTCCCAATGACCCTCCCCAGAGAGGCAGTTCTTCATTCATCCTAGGCCACCCAGTCAGGCGGGTGACCGGAGGCAGAAGCAACACAAAGGACCGCTGAGTGTTCTTGGAGTCTCAGATCCCACGGCCCAGACAAACACGGAGCAGAAATGGCCAGATATCCAGAGATACTCCAGAGACACACACGGGAGCAGAGAGAGACTTTGTGAGAGACACTCACAGGGGCGGAGCCCAGAGGCAGAGACCCAGAGCTAGAGAGACCCCGCCAGCAGCGATCAGAAGGGAAACACGCGGGCAGGGCATGCACAGACCAGCCTCGGACACACCCCCAGCCCCAAGAGAGCCAAGGTCCCCGAGCGCACCCCCAACGCGAGGCCACTCGTGCAGAGCAGGAGGACGCGTGGAGCCCCGGCGCGGGGCCCCAGCTCGGTGCGCACTGGACCGTGCTCAGGAGCGCGGGGCTGAGCGGCGAGGAGCGCACACAAAGAGGCGGCGGCCCGCGGCGGGGCAGGCTCCCCGGGCCACCCCGGTCCCGGGTCACCCGGGTCCCCGGCCACCCGGGTCCCCGGCCGGGGGATCGCGCCCCACCCGCTCACCAGCTGCAGGCAGCAGAAGGCGACCAGCGTGCAGCGCCCGCTGCACTTGCCCATGGCTCCTTCTCGCGCCGCGCGGCTCCGTGTCCTCCCGATGGCGCCCCGGGGCGGCGGGGCGGGCGACTAGGGCCGGGCCCGGGAGCACCCGGTCCCCAGAGCCGCGGCCGCCCG